CAGGATGCTGTGGAAGCAGCAGCGTCTGGCCGAGCCGCCGACACATCCCGGATCTTGTAGAGTCTCTGCAAGTCCTTACCTCTGAGTCCTTTCCCCGAGGTAGCCCACAAAGTACTTCTGCCTCACAAACAAGTACATCAGGCCGGCAAAGGCGGCAGGAGCTGGGTAAAGGGCAAAGCACAGCGTTACACACACCAGCCCGGGTCTCGCTGTAGGTTCTGTCCCCATCTGCTGCCCAGGCTGGACCGGGAAACGGGAACCTGCAGCCTTGGGCTGCGGGATGAGCGCTGGAAGCAGGACAGAGACCTTCGCATGGGAAAAAGAGCGTTTTCCTTGCCCTCACACCAGCTTTGCTGAAGACTTTGTGGGTGTAATCCTGCCTGTGCCCACTGCAGACACCCGGTGTGCGTCATGCTGGGCTCAGGAAGGAAGGTGCCAGCTCAGGCACTGCTGTCACCAGAAATCAAAGGCAGCCAACAACACTTCTCCAGGAGCAGGTAGAGGACTATACTCGGGTCCAATACTCATTTCTGTGCACCTAAAAAGAGGCTTTTCCCCTTTTCCCTCTAATTCTAGCTTTCCCCACACCTGCAGGTAACAGACCTTCTCCTGGTCAGGAAACTCCTCTCGTCCAGAAAGAACAGCCACGGAAAACTCAAATTGCGTTAAAGGGGATCATTATTCAGAAATGCAGGTAAATACTCTTGGGCTTCCCTCAGCGCTGGGAAGGGCTAGCAACTCTGGCAATTTAATCAGATGAGCCCATTTCCAGTCCCAGGGGTCAACAACGCAGCATCCAGCACCCTTCACCCAGAACAGAGGGATGTCATCCGTAATGCCTTATGGGAAATGTCCCTGGCCCCGGACTGTCCTGAACGGTGTCTGGGAACACGTCTGTTGGCATAAACCGTGCCAGGGAGTGCGCTGCTAATTAAACAGCATGGGTAGCTGGGTGAGACTGGTGCCCCTGCTGCGGAAGAATTTGGTCCCTGGAAGCGTAACCTCTCTGTCCCTTGCTGAAAGTGGTGCAAGGCTGAAGAGGGAAAAAACCCCGTGTGTTACCTTGGCTGCAGAGGAGGCCAGCGCACCAAAGCATGGCCAGAAACGTCGGGTACGTGTGTCCGCAGTTCTGGCTAGAAAGGAATTTACCAGAGAGAAGTCAGAACAGGGGGAAACAGAAACAAAACCAACATGTTTCAGCAGCGAAGGACAGCGGGGTGTGAATTTGGGCTAGGCTAATGCCGCTGCAGGTGGGCTTTTACCCCCGAGCGGTGGGAGGCCCCCGACCTGCCAGCTGCCAGGGGCTGGCTGGGGTGTCCGTGCCCGAACACCACGGCTGCCTCGCCCGCAGGTCTGCTTCCCCCTTTCCTCACTCGGATAATGGATGCCTTTGTCCTGCCTGAGGGGGAAAAAAACTGCCCTGCGCACGAGCCTGGTACCTATGAAAGTCGCTTTCCTCCTCTAACCCTGTTTGATCGCGGCACACACAAAATAGATACTGTGTGCTTCATTGGCTTGGAAAAATCCTTGGAATTAAGCCATATTAATCAAGTTATTGGCATTGGAAGCTGCATGAAACCAACAAAAGGAAAACCGGACCTCCAAGAGTTAACGTGTGTCTTTGGAGAGGAACAGGAATGATTTCCAGCCACCTTCTTCAGCCGGGAATGCTTTCCGAGGGGGAATCACTCTGCCCTTGGCAGAGATTGCACCCTTGTGAAAGGCAGCACTTGGACGTCCCATCCAGTTTCAAGCGCATCATCAGTACTTCATGGGTTATAAAAGATATTTTATGTTCTTTCCTCTTCTGGGTTGGAATTAATTTTCCCCCCTGCTCTCTCCAAAGGGATGTCAAAGACAAGAGGTACGGACGTGGCGGAGAAGCAGAGAGCTGCATGCCGAGGGAGCTGCCGGGGACCGAAGGGTTTGTATGAGCTTTGCCACCAAGCTGCTCCTTGGCACGTCGGCGTCTCTCCACTGGCTCATTGCTTGTGAGCCGCAGTGCCCGTGGGACACTGGCTGTGCTTGTGTTACACTGCCAGCATTAGCTACTGCTGGGTGAACTGGTTCCCCAGTGAAGGGACATAGTACTCACCAGGGCTGCAAGTCCCCATATAAACACAGCACACGGTGTCCGGGAGGGAGCTGGGTTTACCAGCAAACATACCAGAGAACCACGGGTCTGAACTCTGCCACAATGCACACAGCAAGGGGTTGAGGACAAAGCCTCCATCTGAGGGCATTTGGAGCCCACCTCTGCACCCCACAAGGGTTTGGATTAAACCCTAACAAAAAGAGAAACGAACCCCGCTGTGCCCACCCTGGCTCCTTAGGGCTTGCCTACTCACTTGGCAGTGTAGACACGGTCGAAGGCGGAGGATCCCGGGCGCTGGAACCCCTTGCTGTTGCAGTGTTTGCTTTCGTGCTCCACTTTGCTAGCAAAAAAAGCTGTTAAAAAAACACAGAGCATTCAATCTGAGGCAAAGTACTCGCTCTGAGGTGCAGTTTGGAGATACTGCAGGAGTTGGGCTTTGTGGGCTCGTCTCTGTTCTGACGAGCACCCAGGCTGGACGGCAGGAGAGGATGCGGGTGCGTGGAGGTGCAGGATGTGGCCAGCCTGCCCGCTCCGTCACCGTGGCACAGCCAAACCCTCCGCGCAAGAGTGCGACGTGACCTCAGATGTGCCCCTGTATTCGCAGCAGGCCCTCACCCCTGAACCCTGCTCCATCCCCGCACTGTGCTTCTGGCAGCTCGCACCTCCGTCTGCTGCAAAAGCACAGCCCAGACCCCCTCCTTTGAGCCCCCAGGGGGAAAAAAGCTTTCTAGTCAGAGCTGCCAAACACAATTCTCGCTCTCTGATAAAGCACGGAGACAAGGGAGTGTCTTCTCTTTTGGTGACACCCATTTGCCAAACCAGGGACATCCTGCAGGGCTGGTTCATTTCCCAGAAAGGCCCACTGAAAACCTGGTCCTGATGGTTGATCTCTCTGTCTCCATATCGCGTGTATCCTCCTTTTAAGCCGCAGCCCGGTGTCAGGGTGTTAGCTGCTGAAAAAATGCAGCACCTCAAGATAATGTATCGTGCTCTTGACAAACACATTTTTTCTGATGACACTAAACCAGAGACCATCAATCATGTGCCTAAATACACCAGACAGAGCCCTGAGAGGCTACAAGCTGCAAGCTTTGTGTGATCGTGCATCCCATCTCAGTGTACCCAAATCACTCGATGGTTTAGAATATTAGCCAAAGATACATATAAAAGATAACCCATCAGGAAATATATTATTATTATAACAATAGAAGTATAACTTGATAAGCCGCAGGATTTCATCCCTGGAATCTGAAGTTACCTCTTTTTTCCCCTCACTGATGCTGTAAGCAGGTCTTTTGTAGTTCCATTGCCTTCACTGAAAGCTACTGAGTTTTTTGCCTTCCAATATTGAGTGATTCCCCAGGTACATATGGCCTTTCTCCAGAAAAAAACACGCTGCCTTGAGCCAGCATCCCCAGTCTGAGCCAGGCTGCAGACCTTCTGTTTTGGTTTGGCCTGGATAAATGCCAGGTGCCCACCAAAGCCGCTCTATCACTCCCCCTCCTCAGCTGGACCGGGGAGAGGAAACATGATGAAAGGCTCGAGGGTCGAGATCAGGACAGGGAGAGACTACTCACCAGTTACTGTCATGGACAAAACAGACTGAACTTGGGGAGAAAAAAAGTTTAATTTATCACCAATCAAATCAGAGTAGGATAGTGAGAAATAAAACCAGATCTTAAAACACCTCCCCCCCACCCCTCCCTTCTTCCCGGGCTCAGCTTCCCTCCCGTTTCTCTCCCTCGGCGCAGGGGGACCGGGAATGGGGGTTACGGTCAGTTCATCACACCTTGTCTCTGCCGCTCCTTCCTCCTCAGGGGGAGAACTCCTCACACTCTGCCCCTGCTCCAGCATGAGGTCTCTCACACAGGAGACAGTTCTCCATGAACTTCTCCAACACGAGTCCTTCCCATGGGCTGCAGCTCTTCACGAACTGTCCCAGCGTGGGTCCTTCCCCTGGGGTGCAGTCCTTCAGGAACAGGCTGCTCCAGCGTGGGTCCCCACGGGGTCACAAGCCCTGCCAGCAAACCTGCTCCGGTGTGGGCTCCTCTCTCTCCATGGGTCCCCAGGTCCTGGCAGGAACCTGCTCCAGCACAGGCTCCCCACGGGGTCACAGCTTCCTTCAGGCACCCACCTGCTTTGGCATGGGGTCCCTTCCACGGGCTGCAGGTGGAGATCTGCTCCACCATGGACCTCCATGGGCTGCAGGGAACAACCTGCCTCACCATGGTCTTCATCACAAGTTGCAAAGGAAGGCTCTCTGCTCTGACATTTTGGGCACCTCCTCCCCCTCCTTCTTCACTGACCTTGGTGTCTGCAGAGTTGTTTCTCTCACATCTTCACATTTCTCTCGCTAACTGCTGTCTCACCACACAGTTTTTTTTCTTCCCTTTCTTAACTATGTTATCACAGAGGCGCTACCACCATCACTGATGGGCTCGGCCTTGGCCAGCAGCAGGGCCGTCTTAGATCTGGCTGGCACTGGCTTTATCAGACATAGGGGAAGCTTCTGGCAGCTTCTCACAGAAGCCACCCCTATAGCCCTGCTGCTACCACTACCTTGCCACGCAAACCCATAACACCTTCCCACTGCCACCAGCGTGGTGCACTGGCCAGCTCCTGGAGGAGCTGGTCCTGGGGGACCCAGCGCAGACAACACAGCTGCCAAGAGCTCCCAGCATCTCTAGCTGCATGCCACCCCAGCCTTTGGCATGGGGTTATTAGCCTGCCTAAGGGGTTTAAGATGACCTAGTTGAAGAGGACTAGGTTGGACAGCAATTTTTTATACAGTGCAAAGCTGCTGTGATGGCAAAACACTTTCTGCAGGTCTGGGGCATTATGGGCTCACTGGGTTATGTAGCACATCTCCTTCCCTTTTAGCGTGTATGTGAAATCACTAGAAGATGCCACAGTTTCAGAGAAAGCCAAGAGTAAGCTACATATACCTCCCTCTGCACAGCTGCAGGTGCTGCCACTTTCCAAATGCCAGCATGCCACTGCAGAGAGGTTCTGCCATGCTGAGAGACATCAGGCTGAACACAGACATGTCCAAGATGACAGTGGTCACCAAGGACATGAGCTTGGAAGTGCCAGCGGTGACACTCCTTGTGCACGGCCTCTGGGATCAGGACTAGGCAGACCTGGGGGTGCTGGGTCTCCTGGGAAGGATCTGGCTGTGGAGGTCCAGACATTGGTCCTGGAAGCTCTTGCCATCTCTGATGTGGTGTATGGATCTTTCATCAAAAGACTGGGCAGTAGGGCAAAGGACAGAAGTAGGGTTATCATTTACATCTGCACCATGGGTGAGGAACAGGCTTTGTCTCGCCTCACTTCAGAGACATTGAGGAGTGTTGGGGAGATAGATGATTTCCTTCTGTAAACAGTGAGTGACAGGGGGAAACAGAAGAAAGGCAATCCATCCCTCAGAGAACTATTGGCATGAGAGAAACCACCTCACTGAAGTGCTGATCTTTCTCCACTGACTCAAGAAAGAGCTTAGACAATCACCTCACATGAGGTGTCCACCTCTTAGCTAGAGAAAATTCCTGGGTGGATTACCTCCAACCCACCACAGTGGCTGTATTTCCTCAGGACCACGCGAACCCTCAAGGTGAGGGCAGAGAATCGGAGCGGAGCCCAGCATATCACCATCATACATTGAGGCAGAACCTCCTGCTTCAAGTGAGCTTTTCGCCCTGAAAGTGGCTCCCATATTCTGTGGCTCCTTAGCCCTGCCAACCTCACATGCCCTGCAGGGTCCCAAAACGTTCCTAGAAGGCAGTCCAAGAGGTGGGTCCTGGCTGCCTTGAGGCTCAGCTGGACTGATGCTCTGCAAAGGAACAGAGCAGAGCTGACAGATCACATCCAGGGGTAGCCCCTGCTGCAGGTCTGCACTCCCATCTCAGCAGCGTTGGGCTCCTGTTAACCTGGCATTGGGGAAACAGGAGACCACAGCGTGAAGTAGCTTGCAACACCATGGCTGTATTTCCTGCTCTATGTCCTGAACCTCAAGGCAAAAGTGTGGTTTCACAAGCCGGCATGAGATGAGTGAGCGGAGCAGGGCTGGAGCTGAGGGGTTTAATTCAGCTGAGCTGCACCAGGAGGTGATGCCCTGAGGCCCCAGGGCTGCACGGGCTGCCCTGAGCCTGAACCACTGCAGTCTCACTCTGGTCAAGTTAACGTACGAGAATTCAGTCCAAGCCTGGTTGTTTCACAAGTTCATGCCAACAGAAAGTGTGCGCTGATGCTCCAACCTAGCAAGTGCTGGCAAACATGCAGATTGCCCTTTCTTTCTGTTGACTTCTCTTTGCTTCCTCCATCCGATCTGCTCAGCAATGACCACCGATTAGCCCTGAAAGTGACTGAGTTGCAACATGTCTGTGATGTAGGAACAAAACCTAAAGCTACATGTGTGACATGGCAGCATCCGGCCACACGAGTCATTCTGTAGGATATGGAGATTCCCAGCATGAACAAGGTGACAGTAAATGGACATCAGCCTGAGGCAGCACCACAGCTCACCTCCAGCTTTGGGAATAACAGCATTCACCTGATCGGTTTTCTAATCTCGGACCAGATGCAGAAAAGCTTATAAACCCCAATTTACATGGTACTGACTTCATGTACTTAAAGACAGTCAAGCAGACGCCCAAGTGCTTTGCTGAACCAGAGACACAGCAAGAGTTCGGTAAAACTGATGTCCCTTGACAAGCATTTCTACTGCCCTAATTATTGCATTCATTGCAGGACTGCCTATCAGTTGAGCCTTGCTAGACAGAAAGTTTGGGAGAAGGAAATCAGATGATGCAAGGACTGAAATCATGGTTTAGGGCTGTGTGACACTCGTGCCTGGCACACGAAGCCCTCTGCCAAGCACCATGCTGCCCGTTTGCAGCAGCTGGGTCAGTAAGCTCACAGGTGGATTTCCATGAGGTGAAAGTGCCTGTCAGGCTGGAAGGCAAATGCCTGAGTTTCAGAGCGAGGGGAAAAAATTGTATATAAAGTCATCCAGTTGAACAGCAAGACGTGTATTTGACACATTCTTTTAATTGCTGTCTGTGCTCTGATCTCAATGTGCCGTCTTCTAGTGACATCACACACTGTGCATTTACCAGAAAACAGCACTGCGCTAAACGATGTTGCATTTAGCACCTACGTCAAAACTAAACCCGTCTGCATCTCTTTTTTTTTCTTTGCTCTCTGGCAGCCAGGCTGGTGCCGAGGCTCCCAGCACTTCCCCTCTCTGCAGCAGCCCAAGAATAGCCCGTCTCCTAGGACCGGACGTGGGCTTGTGCTCAGTGGGACTCTCTCATTCACACCAAGAAGGCTTCAAAGCAGATTTCTGGCATCTACTTCAACCCCCCATCCCATTGCCGACCCTCTTTGAACAGAGGTGATCTCAGTGCAGCTGGGGCAAAGCTCACTCCCTTCTCCGTATTCTGGGCAGAATTTCCTGCTAAAATGGTTAAGTATTTGTGAGAGCCGATGATCAAGTTAAAACTGGATTTGCACAAGAGAGAAACCTGTTGTTTTATTTAAAAAATCCTGAGGAATACTAGGGACCACGGTCATCTGAATAAGAGCTAAAAAAGGAAACTTCTCCATTGCAGGAAATGTGCAGTGTTCTTGGGACCGCCGCTAATTGAGATCAGTTGAACTGTAGGACCTGGAGATGCAGGAAAGCAGGAGAGCTGCCTGCCCACAAATAACCCAAACAGACCCCTGCCATGAGTCGGTGCAGCTTTGTCCCCTCCACCCAGCTCCGTGGGAAGGTCTGACCCATCGCAGCCCCCCCGGCCCCTGCCCACGGCAGCAGGGCTCCAGCTGCAGAGCAGCCCCGGCTGCCCACAGGAGGGACTTCAGCCAGGAAAGGAGGTCTCAGTCGTCAAACCAAAATGCATATTGTCACGGGGTCCCCCAGCATATTAGTCCTTTCATTAGCTGACATATGTATAACAGACTCACTCTACGATATCTGAGTAGGACCATGCGAATTCCAAGATACCGCAACAACAGCATGCAAAATTAAATGCTTAAAAGATCATTTCTAGAGCCAAAGTCATGCCTAAGCACACACGCACTTGTAACCAGAGATTATCTAGCCAAAGAACAGATCAGCATACATCATCCTCAACTTTTCTCAGCTCCCTTTTAGACCTTAAATAAACGCTTGTGTTTGTCTTACCGTTCTGGACAACGCTTATCAAGGTGACGATGGCGAGCAGGACAACGCTTCCCAGGGTTTCCTGGTCCATTTTGCGAGCAGGCTGTCGGGCTGGATGGTGCAGCCTCGGCGGCAGCTCAGCCCTGCAAGCACAGAAGGAGGAAGTGAAGGTCTTTCTTATCTTGAGTCGTGAAACACTTCCTATGGCTTCACAGGAGAGTGCCAGGGCTCCC